TCCTGCTTGCCATTGTTCTCTGAGTCTTTAGTAGCACGGAGGAGGTGTCATCAGTTCAGCCTGTTTTCATTTAACTCAGAGACACATGCTTGTTACAAACATGGAGATGCCTCCTTGAAAGTTCTCTGAACAGGTCAGGTTTTCAACTCCACTGAGTCTCCAGCTCCCTTCACTGGAATTTGCACTGGAAGTCAGGAGGCTTATTTGCAGAGCATGCATAGTGGAGAGACTTTCTCCACTGTTAGCCATCTGCAGTGTCTCAGGGCAGCAGTCCTTCCACTGGAGCTGTCCTTAATATCCCTTGGGCCTTCAGGGCAGATTTGGCCCACAGCTTGTAGATGGATATAATCTCAGGTGCTGAAATGAAATGGCAGGTTTGGTTGGTAAAGACCATTCCTGAGTGAACCTAGTGATATTTGGTCCCTAGTGTCCACTTGACTCACTGAACAATAAATTATGAAGTCTGCAGCTTTCATGTGCTCAGAAACCTTCAACATCGTAAAAGAATTTGGCCTTTAACTTCCTTGAGCTGTTCTTTTGTATCTCAAAGAAGTTCCTCTTTCATAGAAAAGAACTTCATCTACCAAACGAATGATTTAATGCATCTGGCTTTAATCCAACATTATCCTAAGGAAATATTCCATAGACTGTTCTCTATGAGTGAAACTCTGTTTCTTCATCTGAGTGAGGAATTATCTTCAGATCATTTACCTGATTTCTGAATAATGTGCTTGCTGCATACTTTTGCAGAAATAAATAGCTTTTGTTTTTCTTTTCCAGCATTCTTATTTTACTGTGCCTGACACCAGAGAACTTCCCAGCATCCCTGAGAATGTGAGTACTTGGGCAGGGGTGGATTAAATTTTTATTCCTCTTTGTTTTTTTTACTCATTTTGAAAGAAAATAAAAGGATATATTTTCCCATTATAAAAATAATGCATTATGAAAGTAAAACCAAATAGAGAATATTTTAAAAATATAGAAAGTATAAAGACAAGGAAAGATCATTATTCATACTTCTCAAAGGTAATCACCTATTAACATGTTGATGTCTCATTGTAGTCTTTTTAGAATGTATTATTTACATAGTTAGAATCACCTATTACATAAGCATTTTGCCATTTCATTCACAGTCATTTTTGTTGGCTGCATAATATTCAACTTGCTATGTAGCTTATTTAGCTATTTCCTCGCTGTTGTGAATTTAGGGGTTTTTAGTTTTTGCTGTTGTAAATAAAATGCTTCTATGTAAAGAACTTGCCATATAAAGATTTCTTTATTAGGGTAGATATACTCAAGTAAAATTATGCTCCTACTACATTTCTATATTGACTTTTAAGAAAGTAAAAGTAATTGTGGGTAGAAGTGTGAGGACCCCCAACCCCACCTCTTAAAAACTTAGCAGTGAACTTGAGTCTGAGGGAGCACAGGGTAATATTTGCCCTCTGAACAAACCGAATGACGTTATCTAGCCTAGGCTTAAGACGTATTTTCAAAATGTTTTACTCGGATTGCAAACAGTACTACATAGAATTAAATATAGAATCACCACCACTAAGGTACTTGGTTGCTTTTTAAATTGTGGCAAAATGTACATAATGTAGCATTTACTGTTTTAACCGTCTTTAAGTATACATTTCATTGGTAAACACAGTCACATTGTTGTGCAACTGTCACCAACATCCATCTCCATTTTTTCATCTTTCCCAACTGACACTCTGTGGCCATTAAATAACCCTTTAAACAACAACTCATTTCCCTCCTCCTCCCATCATCACCTGGCAACCCCTCTTCTTTCTGTCTCTATGAATTTGATTACTCTAGGCACCTCATTTAAGTAGAATCATACAGTATTTGTCCTTTTGTGTTTGGTGTACTTCACTTAGCATAATGCCTTTGTGGTTCATCCATGTTGTAGCATGTGTCAGAATTTCCTTCTTTTTTTAAGGCTGAATAATATTTCATTATATATACGTAACGTACTACATTTCATTTATCCATCGGTGGACACTTGGGTTGCTTCCACCTTTAGGCTATTGTGAATAATGCTGCTTTGAACTTTGGTGTACAGATTGAACTTTGTGTTCAATCCTTTTGATTCTTTTGGGTATGTACTTGATTACTTTTTTAAAGTACTGGAATAAGTCAGGTAATCACATCTAATTAATGAAGTTAGGCTATAGTGTTGTGATTAGGTAACAGTCTTAATAAACTGGGATTGTCGAAGATATTCACAAAGTTTACTATCTGTGTGATTAGGCTCTGGTGGAAAATATTGCTTTTTTTTTGTTTGACATTAAGTAATAAAAAAATACACACCACAGTTACCATTTTAACAACAATAGCTAATGTTCATTGAGTACTAGTGCTTGTCAAATAAGGTATTCAGTGCTTTACCTGTATTTTCTCATTTACCTCTCATAATGAGCTTAGGTAGTCAGTACCCTAATTATTATTTTATATAAGGAAACAGAGGTCCTGAAAACTTAAGTAACATATTCAAGGTCCTATAGTACAGAAATGGTAGAACTGGAATTCAAACATTGATCTTTCTGATACTAGAAACTGAGTTCTCATATATTGTGCTACACTTTGAGCCCATAATTTTACCTTTCATCTCAAAAAATTCCATTGAAATGATAAGAGAACTATAAAAATTAAGGAGAAAAATGTCCACGTAATGGCAGAAGGAGCCACCATGAGCTGGAAAATTTGAGGAATTTCTGCAATGTAAAGGAGATGGTTATTGAGCAGTCAATAAGGTGTAGACAATGAAGGAACCCAAAAAGAACTGGAAAAGTCCTGCAGAAAGAGCAGAAGCCAGGGCTGTGGCATGGAACATTATTAAAAATTGATTATGGGGCTTCCCTGGTGGCGCAGTGGTTGGGAGTCCGCCTGCCGATGCAGGGGACACAGGTTCGTGCCCCGGTCCGGGGAGATCCCACATGCCGTGGAGCGGCTGGGCCCGTGAGCCATGGCCGCTGAGCCTGAGCGTCTGGAGCCTGTGCTCGGCAACGGGAGAGGCCACAGCAGTGAGAGGCCCGCGTACCACAAAAAAAAAAAATTGATTATGTGCTAGATTGCACTGAAGAATTCAAAACAGGAAAACTCAAACTCTTACAGGCCACTGTCTTTTATTACAATGAAATAAACCTAGAAATTAATGATGAATAAAGATTTTTAAAATATTCATCTACTTGAAGGAGTGGTTGGGTCAAAGAAGATAAAACATTGAAATTGGATATTATTTAGATAATAATAATTATCTAATAATTAGTAAGAACACTGAACAACAAAAACCTAACAGATTTGGCCAAAACTACTCTTGTGAAAATTCATAGCTTTGGATGCTTTCATTATAAATAATAAATTTAGAAAATCATGAACTTGACTTGCAATTCAAGAAGCCAGAAGACGGATAGCAATAAAAAAAATCCAAACTAGAAGAATAAGTTACAATGTAATTAGTTAGAAAATATTGTTAAAGTAAAATTGAAAAATAGACTTTTTAAAAACTAAATTTCTAAAAACAACAAAATAATCTTAGACGTATACAATAAATTTGAAAATTGTGATAATGTAAAATTTTCTAGAAAAATGCAACTGATCAAAGTCACCCTAAGAAATAGGAAATATGAGTATAGAATCATAACTTGGGAAGATTAATGAAGTTCTATTGACCTTCTCCACCCCTCGCAGCTATTGAATGTGTCAGGTTTAGTTGGTTATATAGGCATGGTAAGGAACAGACTGTTTAAACTGTTCCAAGTCATAGGAATGGTATGTATATATGTGTATTATAAGCATCAAAAGAGGGCTTCCCTGGTGGCGCAGTGGTTGAGTCTGCCTGCCGATGAAGGGGATGCGGGTTCGTGCCCCAGTCCGGGAGGATCCCACGTGCTGCGGAGCGGCTGGGCCGGTGAACGATGGCCGCTGAGCCTGCGTGTCTGGAGCCTGTGCTCTGCAGTGGGAGAGGCCACAGCAGTAAGAGGCCCGCGTACCGCAAAAAAAAAAAAAGAAGCAAAAGAAAAACTCACTGTAATCCCTGAGAAAGTCATGTTCTGAGTTTTTCTTTTCTTCATTTATGTGATAGTAGTAGTTTCCAAATTGTTCTGCCTGGAGCCCTGCCTGAGGTTCTTTGGGACGTGGGAAGGACTGAGGGAGCTAAACGGCTGACCCACCAGGGCATGGATGCTTCTGCTTTATTCAGAGCAGGTTCATTTCTATCTACTTAAATTGGGAATTTGGTAATATTTTGTTTGAGATAAAAGGGTTGTTTTGATTTTTTTTTTTTTTAAAACTTGGAAGCTACATTTTAAAACACACAATGGGGGAGGATCGTATCAATTATATACCTTTATACCTGCTTTTTCTATGACAATGTATTATGAACATTTGCCTGTGTTACGAAAAATTCTTTACAAATATCTTTGTTGTAAGAAAAGTCAAACAATTCAGAAGTACATATTAAAAAAAGTGAAAGGTCCCACATTACCACCATCCCAGCCCCACCATCCCTCCCCCACCCCTAATCCCATTCTCCATTCAGAGTTTGATGAGTGTCATTTCAGACCTTTCTTTATGAATTTACATGTTAAATGTATGAATCCTTGTGTGTTGTAGACATTTTTTAGACATAAAACAGTACTATTCATAATGTTTGGCAACTTATTTTTTTTAATGTACTCTCAAAACTGTTCATATCTTTCATCTATGTTAAGTAATATTTTTAGTTAATGGTATTTTATTCTTATGAAAGTAATACATATTAATGGCTTAAAAAAACATGTAATATCACATAATTGTTGATGAAATTTCCAAATTTTCCTTTATTTCCATTTCCCAGAGGCAGCTACCTTCAAGTTTTTAGCAGTTGTAGTATTTCTCTCCATATTTTTTTTTTTTTTTTTTTTAGCCATATTTCTGAATTTCAATTTCAATTCATACAGTATGCTAGCACCTTCCTGCATAAGATGATGGGTAGTAACTATTAGCCCGGCTAGCATGTGCTGTAATGTCAAACCCCTGCCAGGAGTATTCTCCTGTAATCTTTCAGGGAAATTCGAGGTGTCTGAGAATAACTTTTTTTTTTTTTGCAGTACGTGGGCCTCTCACTGTTGTGGCCTCTCCCGTTGC